AGACAAAGAAAGTGTTGATTGACTTCCATAGAATTACTCATCCTCACTCACCAGTAAACATCCAGGGAGCAGACATTGAGGTGGTGGATACCTTTAAGAATCTGGGTGTTTACCTCAAGAGCAAACTAAACTGGTCCAACAGCACTGATCCTCTGTATAAGAAGGGCCAAAGCCACCTCCAACTCCTGAGGAGGCTGAGGTCCTTCGAAGTTACTTCCCATCTACTAAAATCCTTCTATCACTCTGTTGTTGGCTCTGTTATCCATTCTGCTGTGGTCTGTTGGGATGCATATATCGTCGTCGTCGTCTTCCTCCGCTTATCCGAGTCCGGGTCGTGGGGGCAGCATCCCAACTAGGGAGCTCCAGACAGTACTCTCCCCGGCCACCTCCACCAGCTCCTCTGGCAGGAACCCAAGGCATTCCCGGACCAGATTGGAGATGTAACCTCTCCAACGTGTCCTGGGTCGACCCGGGGGCCTCCTACCGGCAGGACATGCCCGAAACACCTCCCCAGGGAGGCGTCCAGGAGGCCTGGCTTTCTGGCTCAGCTCCCTCTTCGCCACGACAGATCGGCTCAGCGTCCGCATCACTGCAGATGCTGAACCAATCCGCCTGTCGATCTCCCGATCCCTCCTACCCTCACTCGTGAACAAGACCCCGAGATACTTAAACTCCTCCACTTGAGGTAGGACCTCTCCACCGACCCGGAGTTGGCAAGCCACCCTTTTCCGGTCGAGAACCATGGTCTCAGATTTGGAGGTGCTGATCCTCATCCCAGCCGCTTCACACTCGGCCGCGAACCTACCCAGCAAGAGCTGAAGGTCAGAGCTGGATGAAGCTAGAAGGACCACATCATCCGCAAAGAGCAGAGACGAGATTCTCCTGCCACCAAACTCGACACACTCCACACCACGGCTGCGCCTAGAAATTCTGTCCATAAAGGTAATGAACAGAACCGGTGACAAAGGGCAGCCCTGGCGGACTCCAACCCTCACTGGGAACAGGTCCGACTTACTACCGGCTATACGGACCAAACTCACGCTCCTCTGGTAAAGGGACTGAATGGCCCTTAACAGAAAGCTCCCCACCCCGTACTCCTGGAGCGTCCCCCACAGGGTGCCCACACGGTCATTTTGCCTCGGCAACTACCACTGCTGCACCCCGCTTGGCTATCCGATACCTGTATGCTGCCTCCGGAGACCCACAGACCAGCCTCGCCCTGTGGGCCTCCTTCTTCAGCCTGACGGCTCCCCGAACCTCTGGTGTCCACCAGCGGGTACGGGGGTTGCCACCACGACTGGCACCGGCCACCTTGCGACCACAGCTAGCAACAGCCGCCTCAACAATCGCAGAGTGGAACAAGGCCCACTCGGAGTCAATGTCCCCCACTGCTCTCGGGACGCGGTCAAAGCTCTGCCGGAGGTGGGAGTTGAAGACTGCCTTAACAGGTTCTTCTGCCAGGCGTTCCCAGCAGACCCTCACTATGCGTTTGGGTCTGCCAGGTCTATGTGGCATCTTCCCCTGCCATCTGATCCAACTCACCACCAGGTGGTGATCAGTTGACAGCTCTGCTCCTCTCTTCACTCGGGTGTCCAAAACATACGGCCGCAGGTCAGATGATACGACTACAAAGTTTCCCCACTGTGGGATCATTAAAGTCTATTCTATTCTATTCTATTCTATTCTATTCTATTCTATTCTATTCTATTCTATTCCATTTAAAATGCCTCTGCTTAATGACAAATACAGTTCAGCTGCTCTAGGTGGACTTTCTTGGCATTTTTTTTTGTTGCATCTCACAGCAAAAGCCATGGTCCACAGAGAGCTTTCAAAGCATCAGAGGGATCTCATTGTTTAAAAAATACCAGTCAGGAGAAGGGTACAAAAGAATTTCCTAGGCATTACATATACCATGGAACACAGTTAAGACAGTATGTCACAATGTGGTACAACAGTGACATTGCAATGAACTGGGCGATGCTCCAAAATCGATGAAAAGACAAGAAGAAAACTGGTCGGGGAGGCTACCCACAGCAACATTAAAGGAGCTGCAGGAATATCTGGCAAGTACTGGCTGTGCGGTACATGTGACAACAATCTCAAATGTTCTTCATGTCTGGGCTATGGAGTAGAGTGGCAAGACGAAAACCTTTTCCAAGAAACCATCCAAGCTAGGCTAAATGTTGCAAAAACACATTAGAAGTCTCACAAAAGCATGTGGGGAAATGGTGTTATGGTCTGATGAAACCATGATAAAGCCTTTTGACCATAATTCCAAAAAATATGTTTGGCACAAAAACAAAACTGCACATCACCAAAAGAACACCATAACCACAGTGAAGCATGGTGATGGCAGCATCATGTTTTGGGGCCTTTTTTGCTTCAGCTGAAACTGGGACCTTAGTCAAGATAGAGTGAATTATCAACAGTTCCAAACACAAGTCAATATTGGCACCAAACCTTCAGGCTTCTGCTAGTAAGCTGAACATGAGGAGGAACTTCATCTTTCAGCATGACAACAACCCAAAGCATGCATCCAAATCAACAAAGGAATGGCCTCACCTCAAGAAGATTAAAGTTTTGGAATGGCCCAGCCAGAGCCCAGACCTGAGTCCCATAGAAAGTAAAGTGATCTGAAGAGGGCTGTGAACAGAAGATGTCCTCACAATCTGACAGAGATTTGAGTGTTTCTGCAAAGAAGAGTGGGCAAATCTTCCAAAGTCAAAATGTGCTATGCTGATAGACTCATGCCCTAAAAGACTGAGTGCTGTAATAAAATCAAAAGGTGCTTCAACAAAGCATTAGTTAAAGGGTGTGCACACTTATGCAACCATATTGTTTTAGTTGTTGGTTTACTTCCCTCTGCCTAAAGGATTTCAGTTTTTTTAATTAAGTGTTACAGTGGACACAATAAAGGTGATAAGATTTCTGAAATGATTTATCTTTGTCTCATTTTTGTACAGCACAGGAACCTGAGATGTTACCATAGATGTACTGATATCCACTGAAGTAGATGTAAATAGCTGGAAATGCTTTACTTATTCCTCTCCCTATACCAGCAACACCTATTTTCATCTATCATCACACATGTTGTTAAGCTTAGTCATTGCTGTTCATTCGTAGATGCCTGATTTTGTGTGAATATTCTAGAAAAAGAAAAACTGAAATAGGTCCCTAAAAATTAATGTTAAATTAGTGTTTTAATATCAGTGTGATGTTTGATGTCCATCACATACCTGCTGTGTGTTACACCACTCTTGACATTGCTGGAAACACACAACAGGATATTTGAGTTTTAGAACTCTGAAGGCATTATGTTACTTAGCAGAACTTAGATTCTATAAGCTACGACAAAAGAAAAGACATGTGGCTTCAGCTGCCCTCTGGTGGTCACATTACTTATTGCACCTGTTTAAAAGTAGGTTACAGTTCATATTCAAATTAGAAAATTATATTCAGATAGATCTAGATTAAGACATTTTATTCTTCATTTTATTATAAAATATCAATAATTTGATGTAATTTCAAGTAAGTCAACTAGTTAAACATCAGTGATCCAAACCTCTTCACATGGTATGAATTATTCAAAATTTTCTGTCCTTTCAAATCAAATTATAAAAAGGAGACAGACATGCTGAGCCCCTGCAAGACAAGCAAAGAGCATGGGACCACCGGACCGGGCTTTTCAGACGTTGTGACTCAAAACCAGAATAAACCTATATAAGTGGACAAAATATTTCTGAAAATTATTTTTTTATTCATGATATATGACATAAGTTTAAAAAAAAAAATAAAATTTCTACTGACTTGTTGTGACCATAAAGACAAATGAAGTAGCTCTGAAGCAAACTAGTTTGAGGAAAAGGATAGTCTCTTCGGTTGTTGTACTGCTTGATGGAGCCACCAGATAGCGACATTCTGATTTTATTGCCTTGGCTAGTCAATAATTGTGTTTTTTCTCTCCTGAGACTTCTGTTTTGGCTCTCATTCAGTGTACACACACCCTGATACCAAACAGCCTGTGACTACTTGCCAGCCTTTACACAGGCAGACTGACTGATTACTCTTAGGGTAAAATCACTTCTGTCCAGGTTAGTTTCATCAGTTTTGCTTTGAAAAATTATTCCACTGAACAGAAATTCAACAGCAATGTCAGATTTTCATTAGTTTTAATACAATTTAATTTTACTTTAGTCATTTCAAGTTATTTCAGGAGTCGATTTTCTTTTACAGAGGGTACCAAACATTTCAGTCATTATTTTGGCGCAATTCTGAAATAATCGATACCTGCATCTCATACTAGTAGAGCGTTACTGGTTAATATCAAAATTAAATGCTCTTGCAAATGTTTACAGCTATGTTAAAGTTTTTCACTTGTTATGTAATTGTTTAAAAGAATAAAACATTTAAAACAAAACTAGGTGAGGTTGTATTCAATAAAACATGGATTATTGATCAAAGAAAATAAAGTAACTGTATACAAAACTGGGCATATCAGTGTAGAAAACTGTTTCTGATGAATAAGTAAAAACCAAACCGATCTGATGTGCCTGCACCTGTTTAACAGGATGAGTACTTTCCTAAAAAGCTAGTAATAATCCCCAGACGTGCCTTCTGCTCTCTAGTGGACAATCCCAGTACTGCAGGACATACGTGGCAGATTTTTTTTATATTTTGTTTTGTTAGTTACGCTCAACAAAAAGCCTGATTGTTTCATTAACACTAACAAATGAAAAAACAAAATCAGTTATTTCTTTTTAATATTTTTGTCATTAAAGGTTCAATTTCCTGATCGGGGGTCATGTTTACTCCACACGTAGCTCCTGTTCTCCAATATTTACTTACTGATAATTTCAGATTCATGTTTCCCATAGAAATTTTTTACACTTTGAGCTTTAAAGGTGGTTTTTAGCCACAACTTGGCAACATGCAGTATAAACCCGCAAGTGAGTGACCCAACATGCACACAGATGGAACAGTTGATAAAAACAGACACAAACAACATATAAGTCTGTTTATTAATGAACAAGATAAAATCTAAGAATGTGATAGTGACCTCTGATACGATACATATTTAATCCAAGGGTGACTTAAATTTTTTTGCATAAATTTCTATAATCCGATACCATTATACAGTTTAACTCTGATTGCGCCACAGTACTCACTTCCCATTTCATCATTCTTGCATACACTCACAATACAGCAAGCAGTTATTAAAAAACTGAAAAGTCACAAACATGTACCACATAAGCTAGTCTCAGAGTTTCATACACTGGACAATAAATCTGTTAGGTATAATGCTAGTTTAGCAGTTTGAGGCGATCTCAGTTAGAAATGTTGGTACATTAAAGCTTACATTTTTGTGAGGATGAAACATAATGTAAAGATTATAATTTTAAGAAATGATGAACCTAAATGGCAGGCCTGGCTTAAACTATTAACGCACGCTACATTGTGTCATAACAAACAGGAAATTTAATTTGGCCAAAAAACCTAAACCCATACAGTAAATTTGATGTTAAAATAAGAGAGAACCCCTTTTTAGAAGGATTTGATCTAAAATAAAATGTTTTCCCTGAATTCACAGCAGAAACGGGTGAAAAACAGATTTTTTTTTAGCTACTTCTAAAAAATGTCATTTAATCTGGAGACCGAAAACAATTTGAGTAAGCGTAACAAATTTGAGCCAGGATTGATGTTTAAATAATAAATATTAATAGTTAGGGATGCACATTTATGCCTATGCACAAGTTCTCCAAAGTAAAACTTTACTCACGTAAAAATGTAGAGCCTATTATTTTTGTCTTCTGATGAAAAAACACAACTGGCCACACACAGATATCAGACACTTGTCAGTTAAGTGTTGTTCACTCATTAAAATTAACCATTACAAGCACTTAACATTTCTTCAACACACAAACCACAAAGTGAACAGTCACCAAATATCAGCAGCATGTTGTCAAGAGTTCCCAAACAGACGTGCAGATATTTATACTTTAGCTGAGAATTTCAAGGTTCCAGGGCAGCAAGAGAGATTAATAAGGCTAAAAGGACCGAAAGCAAGGAAGAAAAAATAGATGTTTTTAAAACAACTTCAATGGTGGAACTAGTTCAATCCCTGCACAAATTACAAAGTCTAGTTAACTCCGAGCAAAGTGGCTCAACAGTTTGACATGGATCAAAGTTGTTAAAATTAAATAGAAAATAAAATATTAGTTTTATGTCTTTATGTCCTTGTGTTTTCTGTATTTATCTGAATTTCATTGTGTCCACCCAAACACGTGTTGATCAAACGTTCAGAGGCCGTGGTGTACAGTTCACTTCTGACGATCCTGAAAAACAAAGAGAACAATTAGACAAACGACTGAAACACAACAGCTACAACAGAACCAGTGAGTTTTTGGGTTATTTTATAAAACATACACTGCTCAGCCACAAAAAAACCAAGCAAATAGGTATGAGCCTCCTTTAGGATAATTACTGCATGGGCAAACTTTCAGCTGGGACCTGTATCAGAGGGCCTGGTACCCCCCAAAGGGCCTCCCGAGGAACGGTCGGACGTCTTCTCCTAACCCACAAAACACATGTAGATTGGTTGGCCGAACTCCCACGAACCAACCAAGACACTCCTAAGGGTATAGAGATAGTCCAGTGTTCCACGGCCAGGACAAAAACCACATTGCTCCTCCAAAATCCGAAGTCCGACTATCCAATGGACCCTCCTCTCCAGAACCCCTGAATAGACTTTGCCAGGGAGGCTCAAGAGTGCGATTCCCCTGTAGTGGGAACACACCCCGTGGTCCCCCTTATTAAATAGCGGGACTACCACCCTTGTCTGCCTGTTTTATAGGGAAGCCAAAATGATCCCATACTTAAATGAAGCAGGTGATTTTTCAAGCTCCCCTTCTCCTCCTCCAACATGACCACCACTATGCTTTTCTTGTTTAGATTTAACAGATGGCGCCTCAGCCCTCCACGTGACTGATCCGCAGATCATTCGCATATCAAACCAGAGAGATCTGTACGGATCACTGATGATCCATGGCACCGCTAGTCAAGAACTGTCCAACACATTATTAAAACCTGGTCTGATAAGTCCAGATGAACCCTGTTCCAGAGTGATGGGGCATCAGGGTAAGAAGAGAGGCAGACGAAGTGATGCACCCATCATGCCTAGTGCCTACTGTACAAGCCTGTGGGGGCAGTGCTATGATCTGGGTCGCTGCAGTTGGTCAGGTCTAGGTTCAGCAACAGGATGTGCTCCAAGAATGAGGTCAGCTGACTACCTCGATATCCTGAATGACCAGGTTATTCCATCTTCCCTGAAGACACGGACATAAACCAAGATGACAATGCCAGGATTCATCAGGCTCAGCTAGTGAAAGAGAGCATGAGACATCATTTTCACACAGATTGCCCACCACAGAGTCCAGACCTTAACCCCACTGAGATTATTTGGGATGTGCTGGAGAAGGCTTTGTGCAGCGGTCAGACTCTACCATCATCAATGCAACACTGGATGGAAATAAATCTGGTGACATTGTAGAAGCTTATCAAAACAATGCCACAGTGAATGTGTGCCGTAATCAAAGCTAAAGGCAGTCTTAACAAAATACCTGTGACCTTTTATTTTTGGTGGCAAATAGATTTTTGGATGAACACTGTATCTTCGTTTTTTATTTTTGAGAACTTTGAGGACCCAATGGCAACACATCTATACCACCAATGGCAACACAACTATACCACCAATGGCAACACAACTATACTACTGACTGTTTGCTTTGCAACACAGATTTATCTCCACTGAGATAATAAATCTGTGCTGCTGGACCCAGAAAACCACTTCGGTTTTCGGTTGGGGGAATCATTTCGGTTCTGCATGTTCAGTTTGGTCCATTTGCGTACCGTCTCGGTTCATTTTTCCGTTAAATAATGAATTTTTATTTGCATGATTTAAGTGCAGTGGACAAAGTTCTTAGGCGAGTTTCTGCATGGACGCTGTATTGAGTGACACATGATGGCTGCACGCACCCGATCTCCTTTAAAAAATGTGATCTGCAAATTCTGATCAACGCCTTTCAGAGTGGATCAAACCAGCTGGCCGTCTCTGCTACTGGAGCCCGTAGAGACGCTAAACGGAGCGTCGCTTCGCCCCTCCCTCTCTTCTCTCACACTGTGAAGGCACACGGCGGCAAAAATTTAACCAAACACGTCCGCTGAACTTTTCCCCTGGGACAAATGATGTGAAGTTTTCATCCTACAACCAAAAATATGGCGTGGAGGAAGCTCGTTACTTAACACGAGTTTTAAAGAAGAAACTCTGGGTGGTGTGAGGTGAGTTTTTAAGGCTCGCTGCAGAAATAAAAACACAGACCATCAACAGTCAAACACGACACTAGAATGAGCATGACGCTCATAGCTGCACAAATAACCTGTGATAACTAAATACATCATGTTAGATCAGCAGACTGTGGTGACACCTGGTTCTGCTCACCATAGGAGCCACTTTACATGTTAAATAAATAAATATAATAATAATATACCGAAAATTAATCGAGCTGAGGTCTTCAAAACACTGAACCGAACCCAATACGATTTTAGCATACTGTTACACCCCTATACACTGTGATGCATGTCTTCACAAAAATCATGATTAAATTTTTTCTCTCTTTGGCAGACAATTACTGACACAAGTGATGTCCAGTTCTAGTCCTAGAAGGCCACTATCCTGCAGATTTGAGGCGTTTCCCTGCTCCAGCACTAGAGCTGAAACAACTAATCGATTTAATCGATTATAATCGATTATTAAAATAGTTAACAACTTTTTTAGTCATCGATTAGTTGTTTAATAATCATATTTTACCGCATAAAGTCTATTTTTTACCACAATCTGACATCGGTTACAAGCTGTTAAATTTGCCGCCAGTGTGTGGCAGTAATGAGCCACTGATCTACCAGTGGAGCCGTAGAAGAAGAAATGAGCCAATGGGTGCCCTCGGTTTTCATGACGTATCACGTTACTGACGCTCATCTTGCTGTGAGAGATGGCGGAACAAGAAGAAATACGGAAGAAAAATAGAAGCGACAAAACTGAAGAGAAACCCCGGACAAAAACCTCACGAGTATGGGAGCACATTTGAGACGAAAGCATGTGGGGGCTGATGCAGCAGAGGAAGAGCACCGCGGTCAAGTGAGCCGTCATTTGGAAGAGCCAGCCCGGTAAGTAACAGAAAATAAACAAGCTGGACTTAGTGTTTTAGCTGAGTTCGTTATAGTGGATGTTAAACATGTTTTTTTGCCGCGTCAGTCTACGGTGTTCTACTTCTGATTGACTAGATGCAATCGTGAATCTCCTCCGTGTTGTGTATCATGCGCTTGCCAAATTCAGCACGTCTGTTTATAAGAATGTTCTCGTTAAGAGAAAAATGGCACAAACCCATAACTATGTTCCTCATTCAAAAAAGGACAACTCCGCGGAGAAAAATATACAGACGAGCTGTGTCCAGGTGAATATAACGCGGCATAGTTGTACGCTTTCAATTTTTAAATACAGGAGAAATTCAGAAAAAGTCATTTTTTTACTATTAAAAGGCTGTTTTACTATCTAACGCTGTAAAACGCCTCACAACACATTTTTATCATGTTTCTTAAACAGTATTACACAAAATAAACATTTTTCACATTTCTCTGGCTAATTTAAACACTCCCGACTCAAAGTAAAAACCTCATGAGCTTCTTACTTAGAGCTTTTTAATAGTAAAAATGTTTTACTTTTTTTCTGAATATCTCCTGTTGCGGGCTATTTTGTAGAACGTAACCCTCAAAATAAATGATCACTGTATATTGTTAATTAATTCAAATAATATAATATTGATTTAGTGTTGTAGTGTGTGTGCTGCTTTATTTTATATGTGTACTTATTTCAGTCTATTTGTGTTTCTTATGCAGAAAAAAACAAGCAACGATGGACAACTACATGGGGAAGAAGACACTCACCCCCCAGCAATTCATACCACTTACAAACTCTATTCTAAACATGCTGGTAAAAGACATGAGGCCACTATCCATGGTGGAAGGAGCAGGCTTCCAGCTAATGCTAAAAATTATTCTGGACTGATATTTTGCACTGTTTAGCTCATTTTATACTGCTGACTGTGTTCATGTGCAATAAAATAGATTGCAGTCAACTGCACAATTCTCTTATGTTTTTTTGTTCTTAACTGAAATGCATTCATCACTTGTATAGGTTAAATAGCTAAACAATAACAAACCGATTAATCGATTAATCGAAAAAATAATCGACAGATTAATCGATTATGAAAATAATCGTTAGTTGCAGCCCTATCCAGCACACCTGGTTTAACGGTTGAATAACCTCCTCAGTGTATCCTCCAGTTCAGTAGAAGCCCATTAATCTGCAAACGACTCAAACCAGGTGCGCTGCAGCAGAGACACACTTGCAACATGCAAAATAGCGGCAGTAAAAAAAAATACAAGCACAGGGCAGAATGAGAAGGTTTGAACAAGTGTTTTTCCGGTTAATAGAAAAGTAAAGATCACACTTTACCTGATCAATTCTGGATCGACTCTGTACTGAAACAGGCTCGTAGCTCTGTTACACAAACAACAAAAAGATCAGAAAAATGCAACAGAATGAATATAACTGAACATACTGCTGCTTATTTTCCTATCACTACTTTTAATCACAGCAAAGTGAAGAGAGATAAAAACACCTTGCATGCAGTTCAACTTGTGTTTGTCGTAACAACAGTACTGTGTGCCAACTGTATCTTTAATCAGGATCAGATAAGCAGCAGAAGGTAACCTGATCTTTGTGTCTGAAGGACTGAATGAACTGATTATTACAAAACAGTCCTGGAACATCAGCGTTTTCTATATAACTTGACATAAAAAGGGCAATGTACCTGAAATTACATGTATGATGCTTATGATGCTGATCTTGGAAAACCCCTCCCACCCACTGCATTCCACTGGGGAGACCATGGACAGCTCCTTCAGTGGCAGACTAAAGCCAGGGACACACCGGCTGCCGAAGCGCTCACAAAATTCGGCCGCTGCTCCTCAGTTCAGACCAGACGCTTGTTTCTCTGCTCCGGTCGAGGCGCGCCTCGTAGTTTTTCTTTTAACCACTTGGTGTCCTCCATTTCCTCTCCGCCTTTTCTCTGCTCTTTTCCTCTACACCCCCCTCCCCCTTGCTGTTTGTGTGTGTGTGTGTTTGTATGTGTGTGTGTGTGAACCTATGGCGTGAACCAGTTGTTAATAGCTGGCCTACGACTTTCTGCCTCTCTGTCCTGTTTGCTCCAGTTGAAAGACACCCAAAACCACACCTCCTTCACGTGGTCACAGACACACACACACACACACACACACACACACACACGTTTGCTGTGTATGTGTGTGGTTTTTATGCAGTGTCTGTTTACGAACACGTTTGACTATCGCGGAATTGTATTTTGAAATGCTTTATTTTGTTAAATTTACCGGCCTGCCTCTTATGTCTGGGTTTGACTTCCTGCCAGAATTGATGCGGTTCAACCGAGGCTCGCGAAAAAAACAAAGCAGACACCGAAACGATCGCTGCACGGCGCGAGCTGGAGCGCCGGCGCTTCGTAGGCCCATGTGGTCTATAGAATAGGATAACAAGGGCGCCGAATGAAGGCGGTCCCTGTTTGGCACTTCGGTGGCCGGTGTGTCCCCGGGGTAAGACGTCCAAAATGTAAAACAGAATGCTACCGTAGGTCATTCATCCCTCTGCAGTGAGAGTGTATAACTCCTCAGTTTAGCTGGTACTGGCATTATCCTGGTACACAATAGCATCTATGCAATGCGATATTCAGTATGTGTTCAATAATTGTGCATTTCCAGATGTACATTAGTATGCCTGTGTCCATTATGCTTCTGGAAATCCAAGTTTCCTTTTTTAATTGTTGTTTTTAGTTGGTGAAGCTTACAATAATAACTTGCTGTATTTACCTGCACTCTTATTTTTCTTCTTCTTTTTCTCTAAGCGTTTGTGCTGCTGTAGCAAGTGAATTTCCCCACTGTGGGATTAATAAAGTCTACTATATTCTATTCTATGTCTTATTGTTCACACCAAAAGGGAAGATTAAAAATAAAAACACTAGGGGACTGTGTTGCTTAAACAGTTGGACATCATCATAAATATCCCTAAAATGCTTGATCCTAAATAAAGTGGTTACCTTTTTTACCACCTCTTCCTCCTCCTGCTTCTTCTCATAGTGGGAAAAGTCATCGAAGATGGAGGTGCTGTGTTTGTACTGGGCGATGATCTTGAGCACTTGTTTGGCCTTCTCCAGAGGAACCTCCTGAGTGTCACGTGAGTTGGTGACCGGCTTGTTGTCGTTGTTTTCCAGACGGATGTGGCGCAGCTGGCTATTAGGCACGTCCTTAACAAACAACCAGTTCACGTCAAACTTGCCCTTCCACTTGTCCTGGGCCCAGACCCCGGCACTGGTGCCGTAGTCCACTGGAGAGCACATCTCTGCCACACCACAGAAGTGGCCGCTGCCATTCACACTGAATAGCAAGTAGACTGGGCCTTTAGAGTTCATGGCTCTGTAGGCGGAGTCTAAACGCTTGTTGCCGTGCTCTGTGCTGCACCAGATGGAGTACTTGATGGAGCGGTGGATGTCGTCCTCGGAGTAGCTCTTGATGATGAACACACGGCCGTTTTTCAGGTTCCAGTCAAATTCCTTGGGGTTGTAGCTGTGGGCTGCTCGCAGCTTCTCTAGCACAGGATGGGACTCTGATCCCGGTTCTGAAGGTACCACTACGCCCAGTGCAGCTCCATTACCCACACCACCGTTGTTGGAGGAGCCGCTGCTGTCCAGGCTCCCACCACTGTAGCACATGATGCGGTTGCGTGGAGCAACCCATCGAGTCTGAGGTGTAGGAGCAGAGTTGTGGTTCTGGTAAGGCTGCGGAGGCACTACCGCAGGACCTGGCATGGTCATCTGCTGCACGAGGGACTGGGCCGACTGCAAGGACTGCTGAAGGGGAGGTATGAGACTTGGAGCATGGGAGTGAATCTGGGACGGATGCTGTTGTTGGTGGTGGTGGTGGTGTTGTTGGTGGTGGTGGTGATGGTGGTGGTGGTGATGGTGAGGTAACAAAGGGGCCATTTTTGTAGCAGCTCCCTTATTATCCCATGTATCGATGTCCATGTTGTGTTTGAGAGGGGGTGGGAGCAGAGCTCCTCCAGCTGTAGGCGTGCCAGGCTTGTTCTTTAACTTTTGCTGCTGCAGTTTGGCAGGTTTGCTAGCAATAGCTGCCCATGATGTGGGTTTCTGAGAGGGCATTCCAATTGGTGTGCCACCGTTTCCTGTGGCAACAGCTGCAGCTACACCGCCACCTATCACAGAGCCTGCACCCTTCACACCTGAGCCATTTCCTGTCACATCTCCCCCAATTTTTAGGCCTAGCATGCCCTGTTCCAGGCTATTCATGCCCGGCGCCTTGCTCAGGGTGTCACTATGGAAACCCGTCTGGCCATCAGGGACTAAAGTGCCTCCTAGAGAGCTGGGTGGGTAGCTGTAGCTGCCCCCATAAGCTGAGCTCTGAGTCTGCTGGCCCTGAGAACCACTGGTGCCCCAGGCTGAGAACGCTGGATTCTCAGGAAAAAAATTAAACCTGTGAGGGTAAATGCTGTTGCTCAGCCCACCAGGCTGCCCAAAAACAGTGTCGGGCATAAAGTGATGGTCTCCATTGCTAAGAGGGGCATAAGGTGCCAAGTAGGGAATAGGTGGGTCACCTCCTGTAGACCACGGAGCCTCATTGAGAGGGTAAGGAAACCCAATAGAAGGGGCATAGTAGCTGGACAGGTAAGGGTCTGTCATGGACTGATAGCTGTTATTCTACAACAGAAAAAAGAATTAATGTCAATATTAGGACCAAAATATTTCTCACTATTAGTTTCATGTTGCACATTAACAACAACAACAAATCCTCTGAATTTCCCACCTGACTGGACTGGCTGGTGAGATAGGGTTCAAAGTCATTGTCATGCACAGAGTCCTTTTGATGGAGGGAGCCATTCTGCACCGAAACTGGAAAGGCTGCAAGGACATCAAACTGTTGTCAAAACTGCTCGGTGTGATTTACATGCATTACCCACCAAGCAAATAAAGCCATGTTTACTTTGTCGATCATGATACAAGCTGTAAAACACGGACTGCTCAAGACATCATCTGCTTCCTGATGCAGGTATATGAAAATCCCCATTACTGAACAGCCTTAAGCTTGGTTTATGCTTGACGCATTCACTTTCCGCTTGGTGATGCGGCTCGCGGATGGAACGCGCTTCACAACTTGCAGCGTTTATGGTTCATGCGGCTTGTCTCTGCGGTGAGCCAATATTCTCCCAAACTGTAGGGGGCAGCATGGAGCTCTACGGCATGCATCCAACACTACACCATAGTAGAAGTAAAAATGACTGTTGTTTACAACATGGCATTCCAGCATTTATTAACAGCATCCTCGTCTTTTCTGACAGTGGGAGCTATTTCTCGCCAAGAATTATTAACATGTTGATCACGGTGATCTCAGAGCTGAATCATACAAATGTCTGTATTTACGAACCTCTGCCATACTAGTTCTTGCCAGTCCGCCATGTTTTTCCGCGTCCGACCGTCCGCGTAGTTAGAAAATTTCCTAGGTGCGCGGTGCGGAAAGTCTGGGCCGTGCAGAGGCGCGTGGTTGTTAAAACGATGCAATTTTGCCGCGCGGAGCTGTGCGAACCTCGCGGACACATCAAGCATAAAGCAAGCTTTACTGGGAACAGGACCAGAGAGTGATGCAAGAATGGGAGTATTATTTGTTGCCAGAAACGTGTTTAAAGGAAAAGCCACACATTTATTATAAAGAGTGCAAATGTCAACAATGACTCGGAAACAAAAAAAAAAATGTTACTTAAATAAACTGATTTGGAAAATAAATAAATTCATGATGAGAGAGAACTGTGCATGTGTGGTAGTCTGAGGCCATGCGTGATATTTCTACAACTCTGTTTATTAGTGAAGTAGCAGAACACTCCATGGGATGGTGACTGATTTAATACTCGTTTGCCATTTGTCACGTTTGTGTATTAAGGCTGCAAAGCTGCAGCAGCTGTTCTGAATAGAGATGACCTATCTCTTTGTGCATCTCTGACGATACTGAAATAGTCAAAATAATTCACCTAAAAGCCATTTACTGACAATACATATCTTTCCTGATTAACTCCAAATGTACATTTCCCCACATGGATAACCCATTATTGTTGCCATAAATTAGGAGTTTGTGATCAAGAAAAACACAGATATTTTAATCACTGCTTGACAGAAAAATAAAATAAAAATAATCAGATCTTTCAGTTCAGATTGGATCATAAACTACACCAGTCATGTGAAATACTGGCTTATTCCCGATATTGGCTGATTTGTTGGTGCATCTAGTTTTAGCACCATCACCTGATGTTTGTTTATAAACAGTATAACCAAGTGAGTAGTAGTTAGTGATGCTGGGTGACATTAAGTATTAAGCTAGGGATGCAACGATACCCCTTTTTTCCAAACCGATACGATACTTGGATCTGAGTACTCGCCAATACCGATTACCGATACTACCACACAGAAAAAATGCAATGATTTGGAATACAAATTTTATTTTCTTCTCTGCTTTCAACAGGAAAAGACTGAGGTAGAGAAAAAGTAAAATATATGAATAGAAATCATCACAAAACCAAAATATTAGGTGAACAGAAATGACAAGTTACAGTAAAGCCATTTTCAAGCAACTGCATTGGTATCGGTTCCTGGTTTTGGTTAACTTTTACCGATACCGATACCAGTATCGTATCGGTGCATCCCTAATTACAGCATAAGTGGTGTTTCATTTAGGTGGGCCTGAAAGCTGATTCTAATCTGGTCTGGTTCACCTAAAAACATACGTCTCACTTAGCTTGCAAAAGAAACCTTGTGTGGTTTGCAGTGGATATTAAAAGTCTACACTACCCTGGTAAAATGTCAGGTTCCTGTGTTGTACATCAACAAGACAAAGATAAACCTGTTCAGAACTTTTACCACCTGTATTGTGTCGTGTGAACTGTACCACCTAATTGAAGAAAAATATTTTTTAATACTTTAGGTGGAGGGAAGAAAACCAACAAAAACTAAAATAATGACAAATGACCCGCACTTGTATAGCACCTCTTAGAGTAAGGACTCCAAAGCGCTTTACACTATAGTGTACCATTCACTGATGGTGATGAGCTACGATGTAGCCACAGCAGCCCTGGGGCGCACTGACAGAGGTGAGGCTGCCGAGCACTGGCGCCACTGGTCCCTCCGACCACCACCAGCAGGCAAGCTGGGTTAAGTGCCTTGCTCAAGGACACAACAGCAGAATTCTCTGTCCGGAGCTGGGATAATGTGGTTGCATAAGTGTGCACACCCTTAAACTAATATTTGTTGAAGCACCTTTTGACTTTATTACAGCACTCTGTCTTTTAGGGCATGAGTCCATCAGCATGGCACATTTTAACTTTAGAAGATTTGCTCACTCTTTTTTGCAGAAACACTTTAAACCTGTCAGATTTTGAGGGCATATCCTGTTCAGCCCTCTTTAGATCACCCCACAAATTTTCTATGGAACTCAGGTCTGGGCTCTGGCTGGGCCATTCCAAAACTTGAATCTTCTCCAGGTGAGACCATTCCTTTGTTGATTTGAATGCATGCTTTGGGTTGTTGTCATGTTCAGCTTTCTAGCTGAAGCCTGAAGGTTTTGTGCCAATATTGACTGGTACTTGGTTCATAATTCCCTCCATCTTAAAGGCGCATTATGTAGAAATGAACTAAAAATGACATCCTGTGGTAAAATGTGGTTACTGCAACCACTTTGAACAAATGTGGAGCTTTTTGCTGGCCATTGTCAAATTACAATTGTCGGCGCTGCAGTATTAGCTTGCAGGAGACACAACAACCCCACTCACTGATGGTAAGCAGTAGTTACGCCCCTCCTTCCTTTGTTGTGAAAGGAGAAAAACTGACATTCCTTCCAAAATGACAGAAATATTAAGACTCATTTGGGGCTGAATAAAAAACAGCCCTAAAGCATGATGCTGCCACCACCGTGCTTCACTGTGGGTATGGTGTTTTTTTTTTTTTGATGATGTGCAGCATTGTTTTTGCACCAGACACGTGTTTTTGAATTATGGCCAAAAAGTTCCATCTTAGTTTTATCAGACCATTACACTTTTCCCAACATGCTTTTGTTTCCATCCCTTCACATAAAATATTTCAGTTTTTTAATTGAGTGGTGCAGTTCATAGGATACAATAAAGGTGGTAAAAGTTCTGAAATTATTCATCTTTGTCTCGTTTTTGTACAGTACGGGGACCTGATATTTTACTATGGGTGTGTAGACTGTTGGTATCCACTGTATCTAGAAGGAAGAAAAAATAAAGTTGAAAAATGTCTTGTGGGAAGACATGGAGCAAAGCGCACTTATTAATATCTGGTCAGAGGATAAAATACTGCAGCTGCATTAAGCACAGCTGAAACTTTGATGATGCAAAAAAAGCCATCAGGTCACTTTACTTAGAAAAAAAGAAGAAGAAAAAAAACAATACCTGTCGACCATATCAGAGTGTTATCAAACATCTGAACAAATATCTTACCTTTGCCTGCATCTTGTCCTTTTGATGTCTTCATAGTGACATTTAAACAGAGAACACAGATAGCCTGTTAGTCATGCATCAATCAACCAGAAACATAACAGCTTCATCCTGGGATCGAGCAGATCGTTTAAACTGTACTTTTTTATTCATATTAAAGCCATCAGTGATAGCCCTGGAGGCTGTGGTCCAGGCCTTGGTGAGTTTTGCAGCTAAGCCCTCATCTCTCTTTTAGCGAACTTATCTCCCTTCCCTAATCATGAAGCTAAACCCTGGCGCTAACACGCTATCCTCGCTGCTTACCTGAGGGTCAATACTAGCGGTAGACATCATTCATCCACCAGATGTTGTGGGAGACCGGAGCCCCAAGCCGTGCGGTGTGTGAGCTACAAACTCCGACAAACGGAGAGTCACTGTCCGTCGTTTTAGCTCTGCTAACAAATACAAGCTGAGCTAGCGGTTAGCTCCTTGCTGTTGTTTCGGCTCGTTTGGCTTGTCGAGGCCCTGCTGGCACGTCGCGCTGCCGTGTCCACATTAATCCAGCGGGGCTTCGGTCTGCTTCGAGCCCCTCGGTGCTAAATTAAACCAGCCTCGGTAGGTAGCCTCTCAATTCCTAACGCCAGCTTCTTCCAGGGTCTGCAGGAGCGGAAATGGCGTAAGTGCAGCACGTGACTGCGCACTGATTATGATTGGCTGCTTGGTGACTAGTCCTTGAGGAACCACAGACACATTTATAATTCCCAAAATGTTTACCAAAAAGATTAAGGGTTTGTTAAGCTTCATTAAGACAAGGAGACTAAAATGTTCTATTCTAAATGGCAAAAATTAAAAAGGTACAGTTGCACCACAATCTGCCCTCCGGTGGCTGTTTGCTGAAACTGCAACTTTTTCATCATCTAAATTCTTATGAACAGTTTCCACCCCCCCCCCCTAAAAGAATGGGAAATGTGCGCCCTATGCCGGCAATAAACAGAATTGCACTACATTTCAGACATCAGTTAATGAAGAGAAGATGGCGAGCTGCTCCCCTCCAGTGGCAGTTTGCTGTAACTGCAATTTTTTTCATCTTATCTTAATGAAGCTTTAAAAACATCTTAATCTTTTTAGTAAACATTTTGGGAATTATAAAATTATGAAGGAGAAAGAGGAGGATTTCAAGGAGCAAAATCTGGATTAATAAATCATCCTTTTAAATGTTACTTAGAGCCTGCATGAACGGAGCCTAAGTATACACTCTTTATCCTTGAAGTTTGACCCCAACATACAGGATGCTACACTAAGTTGTAAATGGAGTTTTAAAAAGTCAGGCACTGTTTCATTTACTGTTACATATATGTTACTATCTATTCCTTAGAGTCTGCATGAACGGGACCTAAGGTGATATTCTAACATTTATGTAAGTGAACACTTGATAAAGTTCAGAGTAAAAGTTACAACATGCTAAATGCATATGCAACCTTCTCAGTTTTCTGAAATATATTTGATGACAAATTTCTTGATAGGTTGATGTTACATTGAAGAAAAACATAAAATATCTTAAAACTAAAATCATTTTGATATGTTATTGCACAGATAAGCTGTATTGTTGAATCCCAGCAGTATGGGGTTTTTGGTTTGTTTGTTCTATTTTGTTCCTAGCAGGTATTCATTTTCTCCCTGCGGTTGAGTTCCTGCCAGTTCACCCCCAGTTTCAGCTGCTGAACGTCATCAGCTTATCTGAAAGTAAGATTTAAAAGACCCTATCATCTTTGGTGATCTCACGCCTACACAACATCCTTTGGTCTAATGGTGAAATTAATTTAAGCTGATCTTTTACCTGCTGACCTCTATAACTTTATTCCTGTTCCTAATTACAAAGAAACACCTGTGCAGAGGAGATGTTTTGAAGGTGACAGTTTCTGCTTATCAAGCAACAATTGACAGCTACAATAAAGCCTGATTCATGCTTCTCTGTCAGCTCCAACAGGGACAGACACGCACGGACGGAGACGTTTAGCTCTTATACTTCTCCGTCTCCTGGGGAGTGTTGCAAAGCAATTCCCGGACCGGACAGCAGAGGGCGGAGAGCTGTTCTGTGGTATCCTGTCATGTATCGGTCCAAAATAGTGTGACGATATTGTGTTTTTTGTACATAAGAGACATTTTAACAGACAAATTTGTCTCATTCTCCTACACCTCTTCATGGGCTCGCCACCTCTAAACCCACGATTCCTGTCATTTCCGTCTACAAATAAAACGCTTGCTGTGCATCATTTCACTCCTCCAGTCACGGGGGATAAAAACGTTCATGTTTTTAGAGTTTTTTTGCGAGTTGTTCTTCAAGTTTCTCCGTGTCCGTCGCTAGTTATCCTCGGCTCTTTGTTTTTGAGTGCGCAATGGCGGCGCTGTAGACGACAACGGCATCCTGACCAATCACAAGCTTGCGCTGTCCGTCTCGTTAAACGGATGTTTAAAAAAGTGGGCTCGACTCCGTGTGTACTTGCTTGCCTGCTGGGGCCCTACGCAAGGGCGGATAATGGAGTTGCGTGTCTCAGCACTGACGCAGGAGAAGCATGAATCAGGCTTAAGATCAACCCTCCTATATTCATGAAACCAAAGAAGTCCAATTGCCTTCTTTAAAAATCCATTTGATGTCATACTGAACAATGTATTGTATTGTATTTGATTCTAATTTTAATGATTCTGTTTCAGGTGGAAATGCTGTGTGATTCCTGTGTCCTGTGGCCCATGACCCGTGTCAGCCCGGTTCTGGATGTGGCCTTGCTGACTTATCTGTAGCAAGGTTTTCTGGTGCTTGGGGCCATTCCAGAGTGCACCTGATCCTTGGCGGTCTAACACTTCACATCCCCGCACACGCATGAACACATGCTTGTTGATGTTTGTTGTTCATGATGTTTGTGGTTCATGGTTTACATGTTTATAGTTGTTCATCCCACGTTTTCTTGATGACTCTTAGAAATGTTTCTTCACAGGTGCAGCTGCTGGTTGCTGTTTTTATGTTGGTTTCCTAGTTGTATTAATTTTTCTCTTATTACTTGTTTATCCTCTATCAGCAGTCTTTATTCCAGACTGGTTCAGCATTTACATGCTGATGTGGCGATACATAACCCAAACCAATATTACTCAAGGGGAACCTCGTACACATTAAGGCTCCTCTTGATAGAGCAAATCTGTTCAGCACATTCTGACAGACAGACCACCATTCTTCTGTCATGTTGCTGTACATGACATTTTTAGTTTTTCTATTTAAAAATAAGTAGTATTACATTTAAAGAGAAATACTTTCACGTTATCATTTTCCAACACTTTCTGTATACCTGTATTTTGTTGTTTTTCAATAAAGAATGACAAATTATTTAAGTTTGGTTTTTGTTGCACACAAACATCTACAAAGCTAATATTTACATAACAAGTATGATTGGGTTTTGCAATACAGCACTCTGTTTATTTTAGTAAGATTTTTAAACCAAGTAAAGTTAGTAAAGAACACATTTCTATTGGCTGCTAAGAAACTGTTGGGATTTAAAATGGGCCTGTTGTACAAATAACTTGTAAATGACTATTCCTCACTTTGTAGTCTTAACCAAAGAAATTCCAGTAATTGAGCAAAAACATTTATTTTTTACACTACATTTTATAAAACAACAGGGCACAAAGTGTCGACACATTAAAAAAAACATAAAATATTAAACTGGGCCCAGAGAGCTGCAGAGTGAGTGTAACTTTGTGGTTTGAAGGAAGAACAGTTCAACAGTGTAATGGCTACAGATAAATTACATCAACACATTAGCTATAACAGTCAGGGATATGTTTATCTTGTTTGTCTGAAAATGAATCTGTCATAAAGGCCAAATTCAAAAGCAGCGAGACTCCCACCTAGAAGTCTTTCACTGCTTTTGGAGCTGGCCATTAAGACAATCGGCAATATTAGTTAAAAATATATCATTTCCCCTATTAGTGAAATGAACTCTGTCTGACAAAAATATCCCTGGACTGTCATTTCTGATGTGAGGATGCACAATAACTGCACCATTTAAACTAGAAATAAAAGTAGCCATTACACTGTTGACGAACCTCCGGGCCTTCTCAATTTTGGCAGGTATTACACCTGGCCTCCATCTACGCCTTTGGGTGATGGACGACATGATGATGGTCATATGAGGGTGGAGAAGGTGAAGCCGGTGCAGGTCCTCCTTCATCATGTTGACCAGCTTCACACTGCTGACCACCCCCATGTCATTGCCGCCGCAGTGAATGATGAGGACATGAGGAGCTGCTCTTCCATGAAGGGAGTGATAAAAGAAGTGGAGAAGGTCTTTCCACCGCAGTCCGCCCCAACCGAACCAGGAGACACAGACGTCAGGGAGGCCAAGGTTGTCTCCGAGGGTCTCTGCAGCTCTCTGGGCACCACGCCTCACTCAGCTGTCACCGATGATCCAAATGGCTATGGAGGAAAAATAACAGGTTTGTCATAATTGTTTAAAGTACAAAACCATACATGAAGTGGTCAAGACAGGTATTTGGAACTTACACTTGCTGCGTTGTGTAGCTGATGTTGAAGACACACAGGCTGCCATGGTGACCTTTTAACATTTCTAAGAAAAAAATGTAATAAAAGAATGAAACTTAAAAACTCCCAGACCTCATGTCATATTAACTAATCAGCTATGGCTGATTTATTATTTGGATCACAGTGAGTTACACTAATTCTAATATATTTTTATTTCTATTATACATACATACTTTTTAACTGTTATTTTCACATGACTGTTATCAGGCTCTCTTGTTCTGGTTCTCATGATAATTTCGTGTCTTCCAGTAAGTTATCTTGTGCTTTCTTCATCTGTATAATGTCTTTTTACTTTTGGTGAATTGTACTGAGTCCAGAATAAAGGCTAGTTGGCTGTACAAGATACAAACAGGTATTACATATTGGAAATTGATAGGTAATTTTAGATTTATCCCATATTACCTTAAAGGACGACACACACAGAGAGAGAGAGATTATTTGTAATGTCCATGAATCGTCATGCGAGAGCTGGGCACAGAAACCCCCTCCATGGAGCTAACCAGGCCCCCTCTGCTCCTCGGGAAAGCCTTCAGCTTTCCAGCTCTGCATGCCCGCATCCTCCACCAAGATGTTACGTAATTACATGTGGGGTAATATTTAATCTCCATAACCCTGGAACCTGAAATTGTTGCGAGTCCTGGCCGACTTAGAAACAGTGGTCAGAGACAAGGGTCACAGAAGGGTCAAGAGGACAAGAGTTCAGGACTTGCTAGCGGGGACAGAACTAGGCAAAAGGTCAAAAGGCAGGCTGGCTTCTCTGGATCCACCCATGGCCCCTCCCTTGGCTAATCCTCTGGCGGGAAGAGAAGGACTGGAATGGAGTGAGGACAGTCCATTTGGACCCAGAAGTCCTCAGGAATGCTGAAGGAAGATCTACAATTTGCTACCAACATGAAGATTTATGACCTGTGCTCCCATTCCAGGAGTGCAACATGTAACTTTTGTGCCCTCATGTGAATACTGCATGTAGTGAAAATGATACCAAATGTCTTATGTAGAGCTAAAAAAGTGTATTTGGTAAATGACCCCTTGACCTAAACTGTCAGGAGAGAATGACTTGTGACTCTTACAATGTTTAGAGCAGTCTCAGGAATGA